CAGAGAGTGATTGTGAATTACACGATCCTTTTATTAGTTGCATATAATACGTGCTTCAACAGGGCAACATGCAGTTTTTGAAGTCAGTGATTCTTCGTTTAGTCTGGTTGCCAATCAAGGTTGAATAGTCACTCTACTATTCAACACAGATGCGGTAGGAAGATTGATTCATAGTCATTCCTAAGGACATTTACGCGTTAATTAATGTAACAAACACGATCTAATTTCGAACTCGGATCTTCGATTTGTCATGATCAGCCGTCATCCCTGTCACCATCAGCACATACAAGCTTACGGCAGTTGGTATTTACAAACGACCCCCCATTTAAGTAATGATCAGGCACGACGTTGCCTAACTTCAGTGATCGGGCAAGAATGATGTTTTCAACGTCATATGGCCAAAAACTCATATGGATGTGCGGGTGGCGGATAGCAGAAGTCAAAAAGCGCCGAGTGTTCTCATACCAATTTCATTTTCGTTACATCCACTAACTCGAAAATACTCTTGGGTAACTTATTAATGCATCGATACTCTTAACTATGGGTTAAATAGTAAGGCAGACTAGGTTCCTTGGCCTTGGGTGGCAACCCGTCTAGGAGAATGTAGCCCTGGCGAAGCACATATTACTATGCAGTTAATGAAAGGATCTTTGAGGTTACAATGGCTCTCTGATTCCAAATACGGTCGGCCTTGATTAATTGAGCTTCAGATAAAACGTGATCGGTGTCGAGTAAATTTTTAATTTGTTAACTGATTCTTTACAAGAGAAATCACCCGAGGAAGGTAAGAAAACGGAGAACAAAAAAAAAAAAAAACAGAAAAAAAAAAGAAAAAGAATAAAAGCGTAAAGGCGAAAAATTTAATTTTAATGTCACAAACAGCAGTAAAAACATAAAAAAATATATTCTTGTTTTTTTAAAAAAATATTTTGAGATTACAATGAATCCAATTATTTGAATGATGTGTACTTGACACTAAACATTGCAGTAACTGAGGAAATTTGGTAAATTCTCTTTTGCTGAAACTTTATAGTAAAAGAGAAAATGGATCTGAATCTTTATGCGAAAGAATCATTAATTGTAAAAAGATTTCGTTTTATTTCGAAATCATGGAAGAAAAAAATTGGAATACTTTTGAGCTGGAAGCAGAAAATCTGAAACTCGTATAAATGTAATGTCGATTGTTTTGAAAACGATGGAGTGAGAGGTTGATGAAGAATTCATGGCGACATTAATAATGAATTGATAACATTCTCTCCAGACAGCTTTGTTTAATTTAAATAAAAATAAAGTTTTTCTCCAAACTTGATGACTTTAATCGATTCTCACCATCTTGTTTCAAAAGTGTCAAGTCGTAAACTTAATTTATTCTTTATTTTATCAATTGCGTTTTCAATTTAACAATGTCTTTGAGTAAATCTTCGCATGAGAAAGTGCGAACTAAAAGGTTTTTAATTTTCGTTTAATTTTTGTTCTTATTGAAAGCATTGACCATTTGAATAAATAGGTTTAATCATTTATTCAATGAATGCTCGACTGTCTCTTTCCCGAGAGAGACGAAATCTTTCTCAGTGACAAAATAAAAACTGTCGCCACTTAATTCTGACAGCAACAATTTGTTGATGATACAAAATGAACCGACAATTTCGTGATGACCTTGGATTAAAAGATTGCAAAAGCAGGACGAATAAAAACAAGCTTTTTTTTGTTGTTGTTGCTTCATTTTAATATTTGAGATTTTCTCCACCTGGGCTATCTGTGGATGTTTCTGCAAAGAATTATCCTTGAACAGAATCCTGATCAGAATAATAATCTGGTCCGTTCCGAAGATCCAGCTAATCTCTGGGAATAACCTCCATTTAATTTCTGCAAGATTAATATGGTTATGACTCTAAAATTCGACAGAAAATGTATTGCACTTCATTTTTATTTATTTATTTATTTTTTAAAGAAATAAATATTTTAGAAATATCTTAGAGTGCTTCTTAAATGAAAATGAATATATATTAATTTTGGATGCGATTTTAAATTTGTAACAAAACTGAATAAAAGAAGCTATCGATTTGTAGTCGTGACTTTTCAACTGGGATGGATTTTCTTTAATTAAAATATCAGTGTAATCATTAATTTAAATAAAAACAATGCAATTAACAAACACCCATACAAACAATAAATCCGAATATGTTGTTTATCAGTTACAATAGACAAAGTTTGATCTTTATTGCTTATAAACTTGAAGTCCGTTTCAAATCTGATTTCGGTTAAGATTAAATCGGCTTCTTTATAGACATTGGTTGTTGTCTCCTTCTATATCTGTGGAACATGGGCAATCAGGGCTCTCCACAACTTCCTGTCTCTTGGAGCTATTAACAATAACTCCTTTTTTTTATATCTTTCTCATTCCCAAATCTGCCATCCATTTACACAGGATCATCAGGCAGACTACTTACAGCCCCGCCGCCTCCATTTGCATTCAATATCTCCTGCGAGTGCCTAATTCGCCAAGCCGTACTATCTCATTATTTTTTGAAATTACAACTGTCTCTTTCTGATTTTCTTTTCATTTACCTTAAATCTTCCTCATTGTTCACATGTTCCATCCATGGCATCCTCAACATCTTTCTTTAGCACTACACCTTAAGTTTCCTCTCTATCGGTGAGGAAATTGTACAGTATTCATTGCCACAGAGGAGAATTGACATTACAGAGCCGCTCAGAAGTCTTATCTTGGATTCTAATGTTTTTCTCCTGTTCCTTTTAATTAGCTTTTAGTATTTCTATTATAAATTAAATTTTTAATATTTAAAGTTCTCCCGAAAAAAATAGTGGAAGTGTTTTGCTTATGGGAAAGATTCACTTCATCTATGAAAATGACAGTCACCTCTTTAAGGGTAGCAAATACTTAATTGCTGTCGTAATTAAGTGAACTCATTCTGAAGTTTAGACTATATACTGGATCAAAATTCGGAAGTGAACATTTTAATAGTTCGTAACCTTCATGACTCATTGACTGGCCAGTGACACGATTAAAAGTGGATAAAGCAGCCATATTTTTGAGAGATTACGTAATTATAAGACAGGATTAATGGTTACTTGGCCAAGTGGCTAGGACATTCGCATTCTAACCACGCGACCCGGGTTAAAATCTCACCATGGTCGATTTGACAGCAAGGAGACATCCTGATGTTATCGGTCTGCCTGCGGCACCTTTGAAAAGTGCCTGAAAACCATACCACGGGTTGACCCAAGCCTTATGAATGAAATTGTGGAGACAGAACTCTTGGGGACCGTTGATAGCTGTGCTAGCACGAAGTCGCAAATCATCTTGGCCGAGGACTTGGGCGTGCTGGCCTTGTTCAAAATGTTGATCACGCTAGATAACACGCTCTTTCCCAGAAACTGTAACTAAGGTCTGCTCTGCTTAGTTACTATATATACCGCAGGTGGGCTTTGTGGGTGTTGAATAAACACAAATGTGCCTGAGCAAACATCTGCTATAGGGATTTGTTGACCACCCTAGTAGACGGTTATCCGCGAATACGAGTGGCCAGCTATAACACAGGATTAGGTACTTTTACGTTAAGTTTGTCTACAACATAGCATATAAGTTACGACAGACTGGCAAAAAGGACGAAGTGATTAACAGGGAAGATTAGATTCAGAAGATTATCAATAATCAAAATTAGTATGAGTAGCTTCATCAAGATTTCAATCTGCATTCGTAAATTTCATTTTTTTGGACTGATAATCAGCACACCACGTCGTACAGAAGTCATGATGTCATAATTCCGTCAGCCTACAAACATTTTACTTCAAACGCTGACAGGAATATTATTGTTTGTGAATTTGTTTCATATTTTGCTATTCAACAATTATTTACAGGAAGTAAAGCAGCTTAAATATTTGGCAAGATTATTCTTTTAAATTTTTTTTGTAAAAGTGAAAAAGGAAAACAAAAAAAAATCCTGACATAAATTTCGCCGATTTTGATTCAGGAAACAAATAATTTGAAACTCTTTGAAATGCTGTCTGCCTCAAGAAAAAACATGAAATAATAAAGAAAAACAATTTTATTCCAGATTTGGTTTCTTCCAAATCAATTCCATTCTTTTATTTCTATTCAGATGTCAAAAGTTCGAAAAAGTATTGCCCATCCTTATTACATTTTTTTCGTCCATCTTGTGACAATGTTGAAATTGAATAAGAAATTCAGGTGACTTTTGGGGAAGCAGCAATTGTGGCTGATTTTTACGGAGTGTGGCTGCAAGTGAAATTTGCATTTGGTTTACGTGATAAAAGAATGAAAGAAATTCTCGGTCTTTAACATGAAAATTTACCTTGAGGGAAAAAAAACTTAGTTTTAATTGTTGCCTTTTGTAAGAGTTTCATACAACAGCAAAAGAAACAATAGCAGTGAAAAGGGGGTGGAAGTTTAAATAAATGAGTAACAAGGAACTGGCATTGATTGGCAGTTATTTTTAATTTTCTTTTTCAATCATTTACTTTGTAAAGTTTATAAGGGTTATTTACTAGAAGTAGTTTAATCTGGCACAAGGCCAGAGAAATGCCGCACCCTGGAGGACTGAATCCCCGAGACGAGAAAATTGGCATACGATGAGAGCTTGCTAATGATTGCACTACGCCAAGTGCCATACTAACTCTATTATTAATTCTCATGAGAGATGGAAAAAATAATTATGAAAAAATAAAGGAAATAAAAACAAATACACTTTCTTTCTTACTATTTCAATCTGTCTTTCTTCTTTTTTTTTTTCTTTCTTTCTTTCTATCTGTGTATCTATCTATCTCAGACACTTTCTATCTATCTTTCTATCTTTCTTTCTTTCTTTCTTTCTTTCTTTCTTTCTTTCTTTCTAAATAATCTGATATACAACTAAAGACCCATTCTGGATGTAAAGTATCAGGAATATATCAAAAGAGTAATTCCTGACGTATATAATTTGAAACACGATAAAATTATTGACATGTTGGAAAATTAGATATTCTATCTATCTATCTATCTATCTATCTATCTATCTATCTATCTATCTATCTATCTATCTATCTATCACAGCCTTTTCCTCATCTATCTATCTATCTATCTATCTATCTATCTATCTATCTATCTATCTATCTAAAAGGAAATTCTAGACGTAAATAATCTAAACACGACAAAGCAATCATTCCATATATAAATATTCTGAATCATTGCAAGAGTGTCATTTCAGACTTAAAAAAATAAAGTGATAAACGATGAAACAGTCATTCCAGATGCGAATAACTTGCAACTGGACCAAAGAAACATTCCAGATGTAAATAAACTGAAACGCTGACACAAGAAACATTCCATGCGTAAGAAAACAATTTCGAATACGATAAAAGAGTCATTACAGACGTATATAATGTGAAAGACACAAATAATCTGAAACACGGCAAATGAGTCATTCCAGACGTAATTAATCTTAAACACAGCAAACGATTCGTTCCAGGCGTAAATAAACACAAATATGGTAAAAGAGTGATTTCAAACGGAAATAACCCAAAACTGATAAATACGATAAAGGTGTCATTACAGACGTATATAATGTGAAAGACGTAAATAATCTGAAATACATCAAATGAGTCATTCAAAAAATAAATAATCTGTAACATGGCCAAATAATCATTTCAAAAGTAAATAACTTGAAGCACTGACAAAGAGTTACTCCAGGCGTAAAAAAATCTGAAATGTGAAAAGAACGTAAATAATCTGAAACGCTGTAAATCAGTCATTCCAGAAGTAAATAATCCGAAACGCGGCTAAAGATTTGTTCCAAGTGTAAACAAAAATAAAATATGACCAAAATGTCATTCCGGACGTAAATAATACTAAACAGTGACTTATTCCAGGCGTAAAAAAACCCTGAAAAACATCAATGGAGTCATTACAGACGTATATGATATGAAATGGGGCTAAAGATTCGTTCAAGGCGTAATTAAACTGAAAAAATAGCGAAAGAGACCAGACGTAAATAATTTGAAACGCGTTAACAGATTCGTTATAGGCGAAGGTAAATTGAAACATGGACAATGAGTCATTATAGGCGTACATAATCTGAAACACAGCAGAAGACACATTGCAAGTGTAAATAAACTGAAACATTGCCAAAGAATATTACCAAACATAAATAATCAGAAAGGCGGCAAAAAATTCATCCTTGACGTAAATAATCTGAAATATGTCAAATAATAAGTAAATAATCAGAGATACTGACTCAAGAGCAATGCCAGGCGTAAAAAAAGAAAATCTGAAATACGACAAAGGGGTCATTGCAGACGTATATAATGTGAAAAAGGTAAATAATTTCAAGAACCGGAAATGAGTCATTTCAGACATAAACATTATGAAACACAGCAAAACATTCATTCCAGGTGTAAATAAACTGAAATCAGGCAAAAGAGCCCTTCCAAAAGTAAATAATTTACAACACGGCAAAAAACACATTCGAGGCGTAAATAAACTGAAAGATGGCTACAGCATCATTACAGGCGTAAATAATACTGAAACACGGCTAAAGATTCGTTCCAGGCGTAAATAATTTGAAACATGGCTAAAGGTCAATGCAAACGTAAATAATCCGAGAAACTGTAAAAGATTCGTCCAGGCGTAAATAAAATGAAACATGGCCAAAGAGTCATTCCAGACGTAAACAATCTGAAACACGGCAAAAGTGTGATTTCAAACGGAAATAATCCGAAACAATGAAAAAGGGACTTTCCAGTTGTAAAAAATCTGATATATAACAAACGATTGATTACAGGCGTATATAATGTGAAAGACATAAATACTTTGACACAAAAATGAGACATTACGGCGTAAAAAGTCTGTATCACAGTAAAAGATTCGTTCCAGGCGTAAATAAACTGAAACATGGCCATAGCATATTTCCAGACGTAAATAATGTGAAACACGGCAAAATATTCGTTCCAGGCGTAAATAAACAGAAATCAAGCAAGGGTCATTCACGACGTGAATGATTTGAAACACGGCTAAAGAATAATTTCTAACGTAAATAATCCGAAACACTGAAAATATTTAATCCAGAGTTAAAAAATATGAAATACAATAAAATTATCATGACAAACGTACATAATATGAGTAAAACACGGCAAAAGAGTCATTCCAAATGTAAATGATTGGAAAGACAGTCAAAGGAAAAATAATCTGATTCATGCCTAAAAGTTTCCTTCCAGACGTAAATGATCTGAAACATGACAAAAGAGTCATTGCATATATAAATAATTCGAAATATATATGAACAGATCGTGAGAACATACTTCACGACTTTAGAAAAATACCTCAACAATTTCCTCACCATCAAATTTACAATGGAATATTCTTCCACTTCTATTCCTTTTCTTGATGTACTGGTACGTATAAACGAAAATCACGTCTCCACACCACTGTACACAATCCCCCAGATGGTCATTGTTGCCTAAATATCAATAGTTGCCACTCGACCAACCTAAAATATCAAAGATCTACTGCTAAATTTTACGCTTAAAAAATGGTGGATTATAAAAAAAAACATAGGACATCGATTACGTTCTCAATTACCCACTTAAATCTATTAAAAAAACAATCACTAAGGTTTCCAAACAAAATATAAATACTCTTCTAGCCTATGAAATGAAAACGAATAATTCAAGAATTCCCATGATTTTTGATTTTTGATTTTGATTTTGATTAAAATATTTCCCATATATTACTAAAAGTATTTAAAACTCGATAACACAATTCCAAAGATATTCACTGAGAACTGACTCAACGCCAGTCGTCAATCACTAGTTTACACACACTCCTAACATCATCTGGCATATATAAAACACCTCAGCAAGGGAACATCACGTGCAATAAACCCCGATTCCAAATCTATATATTTGTCATTACTGATACATTTTCACACGCCCGGCACCCACACAGTATTAAAGGTATCAGTTTTGACTTGTGACAGTTCAAATCTTATAGATTTACTTTTCAGCCACAGAATACCGTCTTCGGTTCAATAACCATAAAAAAACACTCATAAAAGACAACAACAAGTATACTGTCGCTGCACACATCAACCACCCGGGTCACAGCATTGATAACATCAGATGCGTGCTTTTAGCGGCTCCTTTTAACTGTCAACAAGAACAACCAAAGTTTGAATTAAATACATTTTCAAAATAGAATCACATATTAAACGCGAATTAGTGTTACTCAGAATATACAGTTTCACATAGAGAGCCTTCTACAAATCCTTCACAACCCTGATCGTGGCAAACTACTACGCCAAAATCAAATTTCTTACAGTAATGCAAAACACACACACACACACACACACACACACACACACACACACACACATATATTTCTTTATTATTCTTTCTAACTCTACAAATGTTCTTTATCATGAAACTTTACTGTTTTAACTTGTTTTCCATTATTATTATTATTATTATTATTATTATTATTATTATTATTATTTTCTTTGATTTCTGGTGTTTACACATTTCTTTCCGGGTCCCGCCCAGGGACCTAAGGTTAGAAATGGCATCATGACACTTTCCACTGACAAAAAAAAATTACATAGATAAAGCCCTTCGTAAAGTGTGGGCTGTACTTGTCAGAACAATTTATTATTATTATTATTATTATTTATGAATGTTATGCCTTCTGCTTTGTATCCTGTAGAGTCGGGTCTAAACTATGGTCCTTCCATCCTATAGGAGAATTTTTATTTAATTGACCGCACTTTTCTTAGTATTATGAGTTGTTCCTAGTAGGGGGATCTTCTGGGCAATTTGTATGTTGATGTTACCTGGGACACTGTTAGTAAAATTGTCTGTTGGCTTTTATTTCCCCATTAATTTGGCATGTCCCAGAGGATAGTTACATTTTATATTGGGTAACTGTGACTGGTTGGTGCTCATACCATCTCTCAGTGATTTTGATTTGATGCTTCTTGCATATCTTCCAGTGAACATATGTCGCTATCTTGTCATGACTGTATTATTATTATTATTATGATCTCCCCTTACAACACATACATCCGCATAGTGTATGTGTGTCATCTTCGGTGCGGATAAAATATTTTTAAAAATTGAAGAAATCAATGTATTTATTCCAAGTTTTTCGTCTCGCTGATGTTGATTGTGTTTGAATTGCACGGTTCTTATTGGCACCAGCAAGACAATCAGTAAAATGTGCTTATTGTTGTCTGGGTTAGCATTCTTGAATTTTTGGTTTTTTCTTTTTCTCTTTTCAAGTTTATTGCGTTTAGTTTTTCCAATGTAGGCTTTGAGTCTCTCTATCGATACTTGTGGATAAACGACCGTGTCTGAGTTTCAATAATAATGTATTTAGAGGGAAACTTTAAAGGTTTTCCAACTCGATCAACTCGTAACCACAATTTATCACATGACATAAATTATTTCTCTTATTTCATTAATTGTTTGGTGTGCTCTCTCTTATTTCATTAAGCGGTGATTCTAAGCATATGATTGATATTTTGCGATCGCTACTTGAAGAATTTAATTTCAAATAGTACCCCACCCATCAATAACCACATATAGTGGGACTCCAAACCTGGATGTTCATATAGGTATGTATATTGCTGAGATATCTGTTAGTGACGAAACGGCAGTCTGTCGCATTGAGTGGTCAATACATATTGACAAGGGCTTAGATAGGGTTTTGAAGTATTTCAGAAAGGGGCAAGTGTCCAACAATATCTATGTGAGCTTCTGAAAGCGTACCATCGGCAATTCAAGTTTTGAGATTTTGTCCCTCTGGTAATTTTTTGCTTTTTTTTTTCCAGTGAGCTATTACACTTTACAAGGCTCGTGGGGAGGCACTCGATATCGAGGTTTACATTTAGAGGCCATTTGTATGTATAAGGGTGGAAGACAAAGGTTTAGCCTAGTCTTGTACGAGTTAATTTTGTATTGATCGGGGAAACATTCTATTGGGAGTCAATTCCACAGGGTAGTGGTTCACGGGAAGAAGCTGCTCAAATGAAACTCTCACCGAAGGAATACAGGAGGGAATATGGTTGGTTTGCTACAATGAAAGTGGCATGGCGTGTTCTTGCTGTGAGCGTTTACCTCGGCGGAACCAGAGAATGCAG